ATCTGTTCATTGCTCGTGGCGGGGTTAGTAATTTGCATAAGCAACCATCCCCATGAGTTTTAAGGTTCGAAACATTGGTAGATTCTGAATATTTTTTCAGAATGTGCATTTTAAGATGTTTGCCAAAATTACAATCGTTTGTAATGCAAGCTTCGATCATGGCACATTATTGTCCCTGACATCATACCAGTGGCCATTATAATACCTGACATTATACCTGTAGACATTATTGTGCCTGACATCATACCTGTAGCCATTATTATGCCTGATATCATACCTGTGGCCATTATTATGTCTGACATCATACCAGTGGCCATTATAATACCTGACGTCATACCTGTGACCATTATTATGCCTGACGTCATACCAGTTATCATTATAATGCCTGACATCATAACTGTGGCCATCATTGTGCCTGACGTCATACCAGTGGCCATTATTATGCCTGACGTCATACCTGTGGCCATTATTGTGCCTGACGTCATATCTGTGGCCATTATTGTGCCTGACGTCATACCTGTGGCCAGTGAATCTTTTATCTAAGTTTTTCCGTTGTGCAACCCACATAAATCAAATCATGTTTGGTAAATTGGGTGGCGTATATTAAATAGGAATCAGTACAATTACCACCCTCTTTAGAAATCGTAATGATTTCCTTTGAATTTGTGATAAAATTAACTTGACTCATGTTGTTCCACAGACTTTTCCTCTTCTACGAGTTTTTTAGGAGTGCAACGATCCGAAACTCCAATGTTGTTTTGAATATGCAGGTTTAAATTTGTTAAAATTTGATGGTTTTATTTCTTTTGAAAGAAACTATAGGCGGGAAATTTCTACGCAATTAAAATCAAATCCGAAGTGCCAATTGTTACGCATAAGTCGAATTTGCACGAAAATAAAATATTGGAAGCATTCTAATAATGTCATTCGTCATTATATTAAACGTGTCTATCAATAATCGATTATCATTGTCTCATACAAGGACAAAACCCAGAAAAACATTATGAAAATTCTGACAGAATTACATTAGTCATCAATTGGCATCGAAGTTTTTCTGGAATTTCGAAAATATTACATAAGAGCTGTAAGCATATTACGCAAAAATATCAGTAAACCGTTTTTCTCAGGACAAGCGACATATGACGTTGTTTGTTTTATGATCATTTTAACGGATAAACACAAGATTGTGTTATTTAAGTAAAAAGACAAAGGAACAGGAAAGTTGCTGACTTCGTATAACGTGTTTTTTTTTTCCTTTATTTTTTCTATTTTTTCTTTATTTTTACATTTTTTTCTTTCTCAATAACACCCCCCCCCACCGGTCCAGCACAAGTTTCGCCCCAACAAATTTGTGAAATTTTTACTTTTTAACTCTTTTGAGGAACTGAGTTCATATTAAGTCTTTTTCCTTTTTTTCCTTTGTTATTTGTGAAACTTTTTGGCACTTTTTCATTTTCACTATTTTTTTTTCTTCGTTTTTAATTTCTACGCAAGGCGAATTTTGTTTTTATCTTTTTTTTTATGTTTTCCGTCTGCCAACCTTAAATTATTTTTATTTTGTTGCACTACACAAAACTTTAATTTTTTTTTTGTTGCCGTTTCAGGTCGTTCTTTATTTTGTTAGCCAAGTTAGCCATTATCAGTCAGTCAGTTATGGGCCATGCGTGATACACGTTTAGGCAATCATGTATCTTTCGATACATGACTGACGAGGCAGATTTTTTCCCGCAGTAGGTTGCCATTTCTTTATGCGGTAGACCTGTTGCCATCCAAGTCTACAGAACCCGGTCTGTCCTGCTATTTACCCATAGTTTTCAGGCAATGTTAAGTCAGTTATGTGCCAGGCGTGATACATGCTTAGGCGATTATGTATCTTTTGATATATGACTGACGAGGCAGATTTTTTCCCACAGTAGGTTGCCATTATTATCCAGAATAACCTTTTCCCATCTAAATAATCTTAAAATAATCACAAACACTTCCAAAACCATTATGGATATACTCAGATTCTCAAACACTAATAGCAATAATATTTCTGAAGCAGGCATTTATAAAAAAAAATACCAAAATTGTTCCTCCCAATATATTGGAGAAACAAGTAGAAATTAAAAAAAAAACGCATTTATGAGCACAAAAGAGACCTTACTAAAAACAACTTAACTAATGTACTAGTAATACATAGAAATAAATTCAACCACAATAAATTTCACTTTTGAAACTGAAACCAACTAAACTCTTCCGTTCCTGGACATTTTGTTAATTAGAAATAATAACGAACTCAATTTTGACGTTTACAGAAAGGCTACAAACAAAAATGATCTGATCAGTTTCTTCTAAAACCACTCTTCTAAAATTAAATCTGGAATTATTATAGATTTCTATCTAAGAGCATTAAGAATCTGCAGCCCCCAATATTTACCTAAAGAAGAAACATACATAGAAAACACATTCAAAAACCTACATATATTTCATTTACAACGCAAAAAGAAAGGTATACAAAATATACAACCGAAGCAAATATAATAACATAAACCGTAATAATAAATTACATGAAAACAGATGCATAATACTACCAACCAACTGAGCCACGTCGACTATCCAGAACAATCCTTCCTTTATATATCCTTCTCAGTTTTTATTCAACTTTTACAATCAAAAACCCGGTAGAGTAAAAGGGGCGCTAAATTACATCCCTTGATCTTGTTTTCTCCTAGTTATTTTTCTATTCTTAGTATTTTAATATAGCTTAGAAATTCCAATTGTCAGTTCTAAGAACCGTTCCGAAGTTGCTAAAAATATTACCGTGGATCCCGAATTTGTTATTTTTTGTATGGATCCCAGTAATGTTACATAGACCCATGTTCCATATGGACCCCGGTTGAGAACTTTCTGGCATAGAATAAGAACGCATTAAATTGTGTAGAACTTTTAAAATCAACCGAATTAGGTGATCCTGTTCAGAAGAACAAAATCTACTTATTCTAAGGGAAGACAGGAACATGTCAGATATTGGTTGCTATTTCAAAGAGGAAAGAAACTGAAAAACTTGAATATCGAGATTTGCTTTTACCGAACTCATAATCAGAACAAGATTATGAATCATCAGAGAAGCAGAAACGATGCCAAGGTTACTTGCAAACTCACACCAATATTACAAATTATTTTTCTTTTCACTAAGCTAATAATTCTAACATGTGACACGTTTCATAAAATTAACTCTTTTCAATCCTTGTTTCAGTTAAATATTAATTTGTAACAGAACAGAAGACACAAATCTGTCTCCTTAAATTTGTTGGCTTTAAATATATCTCCATTTTGAAACGTTTTTGATTTTGCAAAAGTCAGGTGCCCAGATAACAAGAGAAAATGTTCAGCTTTTCATGTGCATTTTGACCATTTTTGGATTTGGGTCGGGTAATGTCAACTTGCTGACTTCGTTTTATGACTCAGTCAGTTATGTGCCATGCGTGATACACGCTAAAGCGATCCTGTGTATTTGATACATGATTGACGAGGCAGATTTTTCCTGCAGTAGGTCGCCATTTCTTTCTTCGGTAGACCAGTTGCCATCCAAGGCTATAGAACCGGGTCTATTCTGCTATTTACCCATAGCTGTGGGGAGGAGAAGAGGATTCATTTCTTTACCAAGGGTATTAGCACGTAATGGATTTGACTGGAATTCGAACTCGGCTCTCTGATTCCTCAGTCTGAGCTATACATTACTCCACCATGCCTCCTTTTATGACTACGATGTGTTATTTACTAAATCTGATTGTTGACTATTATTACTAAGGCTTAGAAGCGATGTATTTACTAAACTTAGAAAGGTTACTAAGGCGGAAATTAATCAAAGTCCAGTTCCAGGTGGCCGTCTTTCCATAACAGGCTACACCTTCTTTATTGCACTTAAACAAGGTGCGAAGGTCTATCAGTAACACACAAGTAGTTTTTTTTTAAAGACAGCACATAGTGGATTAAACAACTGGATGCGTAGAAAACCATGATAATTGTGATCTTGTGCCAAACCTGCCAAATATTGGTAGGTAAATAAAACCAGTATATATCGAGTTTGATTCTCCGGTCGGAAATGCCAAACAAAAGCAAATTTAGTCCGTAAAACTAATCCCTGAGCAGATAGCGGAAAATGCTTGATGGTTTTCGAAAAGTGAATAGAACTTGAACTATGGCAGATTCTATGAGCCAACGAAAGGTAAGACTTGTGGCAGGTGGAGAAAGTGATGTTTTTGACTGCAAAGAGATTTACTTGGCCAATGTCAGCGGATTAAAAAAGATGTAAATGCAAAGTGCATCGATAAGAAGACGAATTCACTTCCACTAAGATTATATATCCATAAGTATATTTGGATATATGCGATTATATATATGTGCATTCAATAATCAATATATATATATGGATGTATATATATATATATATATATATATATATATATATATATTTATTTTTATGTTATACAAGGATGTTATACATATATATATATATATATATATATATATATATATATATATATATATATATATATGTGTGTGTGTGTGTGTGTGTATATGTATATATAGATAGATAGATAGTATCTTCGCATTCTGAGCGCAAGTAAAAGTCTGTGTGAAAAGTATTTTTTTTTAGCTGGAAAGTTACTAATAGAATTGCGCAACATACTCTTTCTCCTTTCAATATGACCAAGTTACCCCCCATATATATATATATATATATATATATATATATATATATATATATATATATATATATATATATATATACAATCTTACTAGTCGCCAAAGATTTTCAGGTGAGATGTTGGTTGAAAAAGTTACATTTAGGGAAAATATATGTGGTTTTGTCTGCTTAAAACTAAGTGCACCAAGGTCCCCAAATGACCCTCCGCAGGTTTGGAATTCAGAGTTGTCCCTCTCCTAGACAAGTTGCCATCAAAGTCTATAGAACCCAGTCTGTCCTGCTATTTACCCATAGCTGGAGGGAGAAGAAGAGGATTCACACCTTTCCCAAGGGATTTAGCACGTAAGTGAATGCAATGGATTCGACTGGATTCCTCAATCCAAGCCGCTATCCATTAATCCACTGAGCCTCCTCATATATATATATATATATATATATATATATATATATATATATATATATATATATATCGCATTAAAATAAAAAATCTATTAATTCTTATATATATATATATATATATATATATATATATATATATAAAGAATTAATAGATTTTTTTTATTTTAATGCGATATTTTTATTATTTTAAACGTTATTTTAGTCGATGCTTCTTATTTGAAATATACGTCCTATTTTTATTTTTTAAACAGTATCTCTGACGTTTCGAATAGCAGGCCAATTGACGTCATATATACTGTTTAATAAATAAACATAAAAATGGAGCGTCTATTTCGAATACGAAGTAACCACATGTATGCATTTGTATGTGTTTTATGATCAAACAATCTAGGAAGAGACGAATGTATACAATTGTGGTCAACATTTCACATTCTCGAGTTGATATTTATATTGAGAATTACTTACAATACGCTGAAAAAAAGTTTGTGAATAAACAAAATGTCGCGGCTGTGTTTATGTCAGAGAAATCAATATTCATTTCTGAATAGACAGAATTGCATATGTTTGGGGATGACACAAACGGTTTTATCGTTTGACATTATAGAATACGGGTTTATAAAAATCTATCTATCTATCTATCTATCTATCTAAATCTTTAATATTTATTTGTTTTTTTCGAATCTATTTCTCTTATTTTATCAAACTATATCCCCCTCTCTCTCTATCTCAATCTTTTCATTATCTATCTATCTATCTATCTATCTATCTATCCTTCAGATATAACACACACACACACACACACACACACACACACACACACACACACACACACACACACACACACACAAAGAGAGAGAGAGAGAGTGAGAGGTCGATGTCTTTATATATTACACATTTGTAGATATAAATCTATCTATTTAGCAATATATATATATAATCATTTTATATATAATCATCAATAGTTATATACTGACAAATTAATTACTCACAACAAAGATGCACTTTTGTTTCGATGCGGAGGCCTCTCGACGGGTGAAGATGATTATGAACGATTCTATTTAAAAATTCCGTCTATGGAAAAACACTTTCTTTTTCTCGTTTTTCAAATTGTTTTTCCTTTTCCTTTTATGGTGTTTCTCCTTATGGGTTTTCCAAAAACTATTTGAATAATGAGAAAAAGAAAGTGATGTTCCATAGGTGGCATTTTGAAATAGAATCTTTCATAACTATCTTTGTTCCTTACCCATCGAAACAAAAATGCATCTTTGTCGTGAGTAATGTTTTTTGTTCGTATATAACAATTCATAATAAATAATTATTGCTCTACTCATGGTATTGAGCCCTCTTTTGAATTAACGCTCTGAACGTTTTGGATTTATATTCTTTTCGTTCTCATTATACTTGGGTATACATATATATATATATATATATATATATATATATATATATATATACGTAACATCGATAAATCTATATCCCAACATCATCTATCATCCCATCATCATCATCATCATCATCATCATCATCATCCCCTTGTCTTATGTAATCTTAGGCGGAACCGAATCCAGAAATCACACTAACTCTTTTCCACAATGGTCTATCCCAACATAGCAACATTATATTAAAAAAATATATTTCCAACAAAGACAATTATTATTACACAAATACAACGAAACTGAGAAGTCCCTTAAAAGAAACCAACAAGCCTGAAGAATGAAAGCATTACTGCAAAGCGTTAACGAAACTTCGAAGTCGGCATGACTTAAATAGCACCACTCATTTAAGTGATAAGTTTCTCTACATTAATTCTATTAATGCTCTATCATTACCCTTTGATATCGAGCACTTTATGACAGAAAACTGCCTGCCTAAAATGCTTTGCTTTAAACAACGGAAAAAAAGCCAACAATGTTGGCCCCCAAGAACTCTTAAAACTTAAATCTATCTATCTATCTTCATGTAACAGACTGTCGCCTCTAAGTGTTGACTGATATTGAGCACTTTATCCCATAAATATAGCACATCTTAAGACTATATTTCTTCATATATATATATATGTATATATATCGATAGATAGATCTATCTATTTATCACACAGAAAACACACACACACAAACACACACACTCATATATATATATATATATATATATATATATATAATTGTTTTGTCTATACAGCAATAGTGAAAGTTTAATAAGACAAGGAAAAATCAAAGCACATCTATAAAGAGAAAGACAAAAATATATTGAAGTGGTTAAATTCAGTAGAAATTCAATAATTTTATTCTGCATAAAATACAAAATTTCTAACCCTACAAACACCTTCTGATAATCTGTGCCGAACAACAGTGATGTGCGAGAAGACAAATATCTTTTTCGTTTTCGGACAAAGATCGGATATTTGGTCAGGTTTTGGGAAGTTGGGAAGTTAGTCGGGTTTAGAATCAACTTTCTTTTTCTCTTCTACTCCAATAGCTTCATGTCTCGCACCTCTCGCCTGTGAAACTCCCTCCCCTCTTCCTGTTTCCATGATTGCTATAATCTCCAACTATTCAAATGTAATGTCAATCGACGTCTCCAGATGCCCTGATCTATCCCTTATCCTTCTCTTCATCCTTTTTTTTTTATCACTCCTATTTGCTCTAGCGTCAACTCTCTGGTGCGCCTATAGGAGATGTCTGAACATTTCAAGAGAACAAATATTCTTCACAACATAAATTAGTACGAATATCACAGATGATGGAGAAAGAAAGATTGACACAACGTGGCATGAAGTTTACGAGATTATGGAGTCGTTTTTATATATATATATATATATATATATATATATATATATATATATATATATATATATATGAAAATTTCTCCGATTTAACCAGTAGAGAAGACAATATTTATGAATAAAATGACAATAGGAAAACTGGTAATTGCTGACGCGTTGCTTTGATAAAGTCCACATTGGACGAAACGCGTCAGCAATTACCAGTTTTCCTATCGTCATTTTTTTCATTATATATATATATATATATATATATATATATATATATATATATATATATATATATATATAAAACCAGGCACGTTTGACGCTTGTCCATCAATGATTGATGTTTTAAGCGCGGCTGCAGGGAATTGACATGTCACATATAGAGTTTAAATCGGGTGGACATGGGTGTGAAATATCTGTGAGTCAGGCAAATATTTCTGGAAACAAAAAAACATGAAGACAAAGAAAGGTGGGTACTCATTGCCTGTGACAAGATCTCAAGATTTAGCAATCAAGAGAGATTCCAATTCCATCAGTGGTCGGTCGTTGCAAACTCTAACAGAAAATGCCTTAAACCATTACAGAGCCATTACAAGCTTGCATAACACCCTTCTGAAATGCGATGGACGTTGAACAATGCATTGAATTATAGACCGAGCGGGTATAATTCGGACGTGGTGTGATGTAATTAATCACCTTGTATGGTTACAATTGTTGTCAGTCATTGGCTGTCTCTTTCTTGAATCATCTGTTGGTATCCACCGTTTTCACGTGCAAATGAGATCTGTCTGGATTTCGAATATTTTCCTGATATACTCTTTCTATGTTGTCCGACAAACACCAAGAAGTATGACCATATGAGTTTCCTATCTTTCTGCTAGTGGAATGTCACTGAATAGAATAATCACACGAAAGTTGGTAATGAACGATAATACTTAGGACAAGAACAACACATATAAGATTCACCAGTGGCGCGTAGAAGTACTCAGCTGCTAGAAGTGAGTCAAGTGAATTTCACAATGAATCTCCAACTGCAGGATAGCTGTTTCCCGAGACGAGAGACTGCTCTTCGTCTGGCGATAATCTCTGCCCGGAGGCAGAGAGTTTGACCAGCACAGCTGGGGACGAATCACCAACTGCAGGATATCTACCAATCACCCCATGCGGTCAGATGTGAAACAAGGCCGAATTTAATATTGGGTATCCGAGCCCGTAGGCTCGGCCAAAAATTCCCCATAGACCACCGCATAAAAGGGGGTCGGGTAGCTGTTTCCCGAGACGAGACTCTGCCCTTCGACATAGCCTCGTCTTGGGATCGTCTCTGCTCAGAGGCAGAGAGTTTAACCAGCACAACTGGAGATGAATCCCCGACTGCAGACCAACATACAGTATTTACTACTGTATTTATGTGGATGGGACATACCCATTATCGTCCGTAGGTATGTTACAGCACTGCTCAACCCCAATATAGTCATTCGTCGGTCAAATAGTGACAAATCAATTTTAAATTATTAACAGTCTCCACAAATAGCTTACTAAACATTGTTATACAGCTAAGTATACTTGTCTCTATATATTTACATTTCAATATTGATTTCTAGATATGTGCACACGCACACACACACACACACACACACACATCTTCACTATATTGTATTGATTTCTAGATATGTGCACACACACGCACACACATACAGGTTAACTATATTGTAATTTATCATCGACAATTTTTTTATCAGACATATTCCATTAATATTTTTTTGCAATGTCGATTTCGTATTTTTGTATTTTGAAAAATTTCTTATTAATTTTTTCTCTTGTCTTCTTCAAATTTTACTTTCTTTTTTATCTTCTGACTTTTTTTTTCCGGTTTCTTGCATGATTCTGGTTGATCATGGTGGAATCGACATGCCACAAAATATTCTTCCAAAGTAGAAATATGGATATATTACAGAAGGCGTTGGGGTTTACATTTAAATTGCTTAGCACTTTGCAACCCTTATATAGGGGCCGATATACTATGAAGGTCCATTATTCCTTTAGCGGTTTCCTTTCAAATGTGGTAGATCTTAAGAAACGTTAATTCAGACAACTTGTAATTGTGAAATTCCTTTATTAGGAGAGCGAACAAATAAAAAAAGTGAAGTTGTTTACTCTATGATGAAGTTACTTCTATCACAAATTCTGTGAATTTTCTCTCTATCTCTCTCTCTCACACACACGAACACACAGAGACATATATATATATATATATATATATATATATATATATATATATATATATATAATGCAGTCGCAGAAATAATATATATATATATATATATATATATATATATATATATATATATGTGTGTGCATATATATATATATATATATATATATGTGTGTGTGTGCGTGTTTGTGTGTGTATGTGTGTGATTCCATAAATACTTGTACATACGCACGTGTAAATAAATCTATAATCGAATTCCCATACATGCATACATATATGCATATATTAATAGATAATTGTTGATATTACAGTTTTCTTTGAAAGACTTGTACAAGTCGCACGTTTTTGGACACAAATGAGAATATATTTGCGAAGAAAGTTTTCATTTCAATATGAAAGAATCGTAGTAACGAATCTCAGAATAAAAGGTGTTCATGCCTGCAGGTAAGAAACGCTGTGCTGTTGGGGGAGGAATTATCGAGTTGATTCTATCTCACTTTATTCAAAGAAAGCGAACGTATTTTTGTAAAGGTATGCAATTATACTTTCCTAATACATAGAGAGGTATAAAAAAAGATGAGAATGGACTGAGAAAGACAGCCAGACAGACAGATAGAGAGACACAAAGATACATATGAAATGACTGAGATAGGTAAAAACTACTCAGATTGAGAGACAGTAGTCCTGGGTATGACGATGAATTACATCCGGCAGCAAGGTTACTCATCGGGAAATTGGAGGCTTTGAGGAGCATGGAGCCATTTCTTAATTGCTGTTTTTCCCATGTCCATCCTGGCCCGGGTTGGGATTACATTTTAGGGCCCAAGCTATGGGCAAATTGTGAACCTCCAAAGAAAAGAAAAACAGTATGAAAAATACCAGCAATATATTTTCTATAAAAAATACCAACAATATTTATCTATTGTACAAAGGCAAACAATATATTTTATATGTAGTTGAAAGCATTCAATTCCGTTCAAAATATTTAGATTTCGGAATTAAATAACCCATAAATTTTGCGTACCAGTCTATAGTACTTTGATTTGCTTATTAGTATGGTTTGCCGGTGTGTTCGTGAAGCGTTACAATTTTTGTACGCTTCCTTGGAGTAAAATCCATCGCAGACAATGGCCGTATGACAACTAATCGACAGTCGAGGCAACAGTGTCTGGGCGTGATAAAAATCTGATGCAATCACGGATCACACAATATTTTTCAAGGTTAAACAAATTTCATCATACACCCCGAAAATAGATTCATATTACTACACACCACTGCAAATGACCTAATCTGAGTAAAAATAGAAATCGATTACACCGTGTCACTCCAGTGGGTCAAAACTGACCATATGGTGAAAGAAAGGATACTAAATCAGTTGTTTCAATTAATTTGGGTGTACAAAACTACTGGACACCGTGGTCGGTTACTGGGACGTGGGATTATATATATATATATATATATATATATATATATATATATATTATATATATATATATATGTGCCAAATTATTATCGAGATTTTTCTAATATTTCAAAAACCGTCCAATCAATTCATACAAAATTTTCACACAATGTGTTGGCAACACTAAGCTGCGCACTGATCTGCGCAATGTAAACAAACTGGTGCCATATTTGTTATTAGCGCGGTGATTTGAGCGTGTCAAATTATTAGAAAGGTTTAGTAAAATTCCCAGAATTGAGCAAACAAAGCGTTTATTAATGTTGCACGTGAATGTTTATGATCAAAAGAAGCTAATAAATAAGATAATCAAACAAATAATAACATACAAACAAAGGCACATTTTTAAACAAATTAATAGGGAATGTGCTTTCCCTGTTTTGAAATTACTTGAAGAAGTTGACAATCCATAGAATTTGTTAATTGTAGGATGTCATCTGCTGTAAAACGGCGAGATATGTCAAGAATTGCGTCCCACAACTCAGCGTTGCTCCTGAATTGTCATCCGTTGATGTACAGTCTTCGCTTCATGATGCGCCAAAGGTTTTCGATTGGGTTCAAATCAGGAGAATTTGCTGGCCACTTCATTTTTCGAGGTCCATCGAAGCCTAACTTTCAAATATTCAGTAGTCTTGTGAGCAGCATGTGAGGGAGCATTATCTTGCATAAAAACAATGGCCCTTCTGAAGGCAATTCTTTGCCTTTTCATCCACGGTTCAAGATGCTCCTTCATAAACGCTATGTATGCATCAGCAGTCATTTTGACGCCATCTGGTACTCTCCATGGGCCCACTAATGTTTTTCCAATAATACCACCACAAATCATTATGCCTCTACCGCCCTGTTGGCGTCTCAAACGCTGATGGCGATTCTGTCCGTTCATTACCCAGCCTTTGCACCACCTATCTGGCCCATTAAGTGTTGCCCGAGTTTCCTCTGTGAACAAAACTTTAGAGAAGTCAATCTTCATATTGTCCTCGGCCCATTTCAATCAATTTTGAATGTGATTTCTCGTCAACAGAGGCTTGCCTTTATCTGCCCTTTTGCGTACTTGTGTAGGGTGAGTGGTGAACTTTTTCATTGTTTGATGACACCTCCCAATCATTTTAGAAATTTCTAGGGTAGATTTATCTTTTGATAGTTCTGGGGTGATAGTTTTCTTTTCAGCATCACTTAAACTGCTTTTACGGCCCATCTTTTCACTAAATTCTTACACTTTTCTAATAATTTGGCACACTCAAATCACTGTGCTGATAACAAATATGGCGCCAGTTTGTTTACATTGCGCAGATCAGTTCGAAAATTTCAGTGATTGCGCAGGTTAGTGTTTTGTGTGAATTGATTGGACGGTTTTTGAAATATTTATCTCGATAATAATTTGGCACGCAGTGTATATATATATATATATATATATATATATATATATATATATATATATATATATATATATATCGAATACTGATTTAAAAGGCCGGCAGATAATATACATGTATGTATTTTTAAAACTATTTCACTGCAAGCAAGGCGATAATGCCGCTAAGGGATTTCCCGGGAGTTAAAGAAGACTTTAGTGAGGATAAAGGGGCAATAAAAACAGGCTTCAGGAAGACAGAATTTACGTTTAAATCGATGTATTTCAACAGTCAAGCGATGGGACCGCAAAGCTAATCTAGTAGTATGCTTAAATACATATCTGTTTAGATTATATTGTTTAGAAATACAATATTTACTAATCTATCTATCTATCTATCTATCTATCTATCTATCTATCTATCTATCTATATTCATTTCTTTCTCTCTACCTCTCTCTCTCTCTCACTGTATTCATTTCTATCTATCTATCTATCTATCTATCTATCTATCTATCTATCTCACTGTATTCATTTCTTTCTATCTATCTCACTGTATTCATTTCTATCTATCTATCTATCTATCTATCTATCTATCTATCTATCTATCTATCTATCTATCTATCTATCTCAGCATATTCTTTCTTTCTCCTCATTTTCTTTCCTTCTTTCTTTCTTTCTTTCTTTCTTTCTTTCTTTCTTTCTCCTGCATGTATATAAACTTATGCTAGCAGCCATGTATAAATGCAAAATATCCCCATCTGCTTATTTGTTGAAGCAACCTTAAGCAATCGTACGAATGCAACATTGGAAATAAAAATATTTGCTACATGAGAAAATAGTGTGTCTTAGTTTAACAGCTTCACATAGCGGGATTGATTATTCTCCGAGAAATTAACCAAATCTTTGGAATCAAGCAAAAAAAAAAAAAAAAACCAAAAAATAAAACAAAAACAAACAAACAAAAAAACAAAGTTTTTTCCATAATTTGTTTGCGTTGCTCCGGTCAACACGGCAACTATTTTAGCATTAGAAGAAAATCAGGAATCCCACGCTCAAACACACAATTGCATGCAAATCAATAGCGACTAAACTTAGTTTAACCTGGCAAGGGGCCATACGAGTGGGCCACCCACAGGAAGGTTGAAATCAATATACCAATAATATTCTGCGAAACTTGCAGGTTAACAATAATTCTAAAGTTGGCGTTTAGGGGGAGATATTTTCGCAAAACCAAAATATATATATATATATATATATATATATATATATATATATATATATATATATATATATATATATATATATATATATATATATGCATGTATGTGTATGTATGTATGTATAACTAGCCACTCGTATTCGAGGATATCCGTCTGCTACGGTGGGTAGGCAATCTCACGGCAGACGCTTGCTCAGGCGCATGTGTGTTTATTCAACACCTATAGAGACCACCTGTGGTTTATACTGCAAATATATTGAGCAGACCTTAGTTACAGTTTCTGGGAAAGAGCGTGTTATCTAGCGTGAGTAACAACTTGAACAAGCCCAGCACGCTCATATATACATACATACATATATATATATATATATATATATATATATATATATATATATATAAACGGAATCTTCAGACTTTGACTTCTGTGTCCACTTGTATGTATATGTATATAAGCACTGCACATATATAAAATATATAGAGTTTATATATATATATATATATATATATATATATATATATATATATATATATATATATATATATATATATATATATATATATATATATATATATATATATATAAATTCTATACATATCTTATATATGTGCGGTGCGGTGACCCTGGGTTTCACGCTTAAGCGATCATCAGACCAAATGATTTTTTTTTTTTTGTAATTTGAGACTCTTTATATCAGTTTTTGTTTGATTATGTTTGGTGTTGGTGTTGGTGGTGGTGGGGATTCTTCTCTGTGTCAGTTTTCTGAATGACACTCATACGCACGGAGACATACATGCATACGTGTGTAAGCATTATGGTTCCCACAAACACATACATGTAAATATAAGGTAACCAAAAAAGATTTTTGATTAGTCATTGAATAAAGTTGAAATATATACGAAATGCGTCTAGCAATTGTTTTCAAATTCGGACAGACGGAAGTAGGAGCATCAGACGTTATATAAAAGCACGCGCACCTATATCAATCTCTGTTAATTGGTACGGTGGTGTTTTTGTATCCGTTTGACATGAACTGGTATTTATTTTCGTGTCTGCATTTTGAAATTACTTCATATCTTTGGTTCAGTAATTCCTTCTGTTGAGCATGGGAGATTGTTGCTACTTTTTCGTGTAGACAAAGTAGACATCTTTTTGATATGCTGTGGTAGGCAGGTGCGGTTTTCATGATTTCCCAGTTTATTTTTGGTATGATGTTTCTGTCTTTTAGTTGTCATATATAAGTGGATAGTGTGGTGCTGTTGGAGTACTTTCTGTTGGGGAATGAGAGGTCGTATGAGTGTCATTTCAAAAACGAACACAGAGGAGACCCCTTCACTAAACATAATCAAACAAAGACTGGCATAACTCGTCTCAAATTTTAATAAATAAATCAGTCTGAGGATCGTATAAGCGTGAAACCCAGGGTCACAAATTCATATCCATTCAATATATATATATATATATATATATATATATATATATATATATATATATATATACCCGAATGTAATGAGAACGAAAATAATATTTAAAATCTAACGTTCACAGCATTAATTCAAAACAGGGATCAATATCAAGAGTAGAGCAATGATTATTTATTACAATTTTTTCATATAGACATAAACAATTTACTCACTACAAAGATGCAACTTTGTTTCAGTGCATTTAGTTGCATCTCCACTACTGAGAACCAAAAAAAGTTTATGAACAATTCTGTTTGTAAGTAGGCGCTGCTTATATATATGTGTGTGTGTGTCTGTGTGTCTGTGTCTCTGTGTGTGTGTGTGTGTGTCTGTGTGAGTTAGGCAGCATATCTTTATTTAAGCATGTTTCATTAAATAAAATAAACATATTCTATTTACTTTTTACAATAATCCGTACTAGTTCTCTAATCATTTTCTTGATGTTAAGTTGGAATTCATCATGAAAGGTGCTGCATTTCTTGTTAACCCAAGTACTTTCGATCTCCTCCGAGATTATCCCAAGGGATGAATTGCGAAGAGAAACATAATGTAATTGTTATCGTTGTGATGGCGAATATTGTAAACACACTCTGTTATAATTATTTTGAAATTAATCGTTCTGGTTACGATGTTTTGTAAACAAGCGTTCCCAATGTAAGGGGGTAACCAGGGAAGGTAAATTGCAACATGTTGTTAAATGTTAGTCAACTCAAATGCATTTTAAAACATTGCTACTATATTGGTATTAAATTCTGTTCAGTGTTGCTTGCTTTTTATACAGAGAGCCTCGAGAAATTGAAGTTTTTTTGTTTATTATTTTTATGGTGCAGTATATTAGTGTTGTCAACAAGTGTCTTCCTGTATTGTGAACGTGGACAGGAATGTGTCTTTAACTTTTGTGTGATAGAACCCCTGACAAATGGGGTGTAAGTCTTGATAATGTCGTTGTCATTAAGCTATCATATATACTTACGTTTTGTCAGAGATACAACCATCTAAATTTGATCTTCAAAATAATTAAAGAAAATATCAATCGTTATTTTGTGTTTTCTTAATTCTTGTTCTTGTGTTGTTCTATCTCCTTAAAAGTGTATTTTTCTCATATTCTCCAACAATCCGTAACCCTTTGAGTCTTAGTGACTTTAATTCCTTGGTTGGGATACAATGATTAAAAAGAAATCATGCATTTAATAATAATAATATATATATATATATAGATATATATAGTCATATAATCTATCTATCTATCTATCTATCTACCTACATTATATATATATATATATATATATATATATATATATATATATATATATATATATATATAAAAGGAAGAGGTTATAGTAGTTCCAACGAAAAGAAAAGTCTGTATATTAAAAAGAAGAGAGAAACCGCAAACTTTTTTGGTTGTAATGAGGATTTAAAAAAAAAATTATTATGTTTTATTTCCCATAATTTTGCTACACGTGTTTCTGGTTTCGCGACCGTCATTAGGCAAAGGATGGTGATTTCCACGTATGAAAAATAATTAATTTTTTCTTTGTTTTTCGATGTTAAATATTCTCGATATGAGACATTCTCTTTATTGTGTTAGTGATCCATATTTTTATATATATATATATATATATATATATATATATATATATATATATATCAATTTGAAGCCTTTGAAGTTCACGAATTAATTTCCTGGTGGCTGTAGAAAATTGATTAAGAAAAATTCCAAAGTTTTCTTTCGAATAATTTTTATTTCCCAAATTATTTTCAATTTCATCTGAGAACATCTTCAGGGGTTGCATATCTGTTATATAAAAATACTAAATTAAAAATACCACAAATAATCTTAAAAAATTTTTTTTTTAAAATCACATAAGTTACTTCACTTGTATACAGGTAACAAATATTTGGTATTTACGGTGTTAATGCATAACACATTCATAG